CGAGCTTCCGAGATCTGCACAATATGGCAAATTTCGAATTCACGTCTGACTTGTTCGTACTGTTTTGGCTCATACTTGCACGAATGCGTCCATGCCAGTATAGTAACAGTGTATTTGCCAAAATATTTTCTCACTTGACTAATACAATACGTTTCCTTGATTACGCTCGAACTCACATATCTTTTACAAACTGAAGCTAGGATTTTGAGCTGAACGCTTCACACTGTGGAACAAAAAACACGAAACCACATCATTGCTATTATTTCGTATATACCCAACCTTGAATTTACTATATCGAGCGATGACATGAGCGCAAGCTCTTTTGGTCAATCAAGCCAATCTGAACTCTACAGTCTGTACAACAGCAGTTACTGTAGTAAACTCTAGAGTTACAGCGAGCTTCAAGGAGTAACACTGTGCATCTGAATTTCTCGTTTAGTACGAGCTCGTCCAATTTATATCATTAATGTCGCGACGCTTGTGAGATATAGTATTGCACTCGCGAGTTGGAAAAGACTTGACATCAATATTAAAAACTACAGCAATCACCACATGTGACCAATAGTCAATCGTCACGTTCGCCGATACTGACCATCAACAATAAGCCATTGTTTCCAAGTCTTCACGAGCTGGACACGCTCTGTCGGAACCCACAACTCCAAGTGTGGCGTCGCCGCCGACGTGACGGTGTCTTGGTCGATTAAACCCCGCTCAAAACGCACACTTGCGTTCAAAACTGGCACCCTAGCGGTTGTCATAAGCGTCACCACCATTCGATAGGCAACCAGACTTGTTTTCGTATCTTCCAGTGGCCACCAATAAAACTCGAGGAAAATCACACCACCCACTCCTGTGTCACCAGCCATGTTTCTCGAGGAACAACGAATGCTCCTATCCTCCTTGGACACATAACGTGCTATGTAATCTCCACCAAAAGTGTAAGATGGACCCGCCAACAAGCTGGATAAACCACTGGGTGCTACCGGAGCGACTCTTGCTCGGCCGTCGCAAATCAGTTGCAACCACGAATTATTAGGCGATAACAGTGACGGCTCTGCCTGGATCTGTAGTAGTAACATAATAAAACGTTAGTACCTAGCTAGCATTATCAGGCACACTTCGTATTGCAAAAGATTCAACGTACGAAGGCAGTGTCAAGAGGACTCCCCATGACTGCAAGCCTCAGGTGCAGCAATTGCGATAATGCGAGGCAGGACGTCCACATCGAAGGTTGATATCCTGCGGCACTAACGGTGGATGTGCTATCGCGTCTGGGGATTTTGGTACAGAGGTTTTCGTCTGTATGAAGGGTGAATTCTACAGTACTAGGTCGCAACAGCCACTCGCCAGCCCATCGACTTCGTGCGTCCAAATGCTGCACAGGGAACCCATGCGTCGAACACTGTTGTCTCTGTTCGATGCACAACAAATGCATTGCAAAACTCCTTCAGTATTT